TATATATATATTCATTCACAGCATGGAGAGTCTTGACAGTTTATACTGTGAATTTGTTTCAGCACTAGTAAGGGAATCTGACTGGAATAAATCTATATTTATGGGATTTGCACATTATGAATCTGGAGAAGATGCATACCTTGACAAAAAGCAGATGTTGCACATACAAGGAAGCACCGCTGAAAACTGGTGGCTTTGTCATTTAAGAAATTCTTGATTTCTATTTTATGGGATTTTAATTTTTTTTTTATACCGAGGTATCTAATCCACAGTACTAATTATAGCATGGTTTGAGGGAGTGGGGGATTCTATGACAGTACAGAATGGCATTTGAAATTCTAGTTTTAATGTGGCTGTTTCTTTGGCTAAAGCCAGTTGCAGTTGGGTTTCTGTAATTGGCAGTTGCTCCTTGCTGGCACTTTGGCTTTCTATCTTAGAAAACAGCAGCTTTTGTTTTGCCTAATTCATGAAGTGTCCCTAACACTCCACAATTCACTAGTGGAATTTTTAAGTTCTAGTGGAAGCAAAAGCAGCATTTTCCGTATCATTCACTTGCTGAACTAAATGTGTACATGAGGAAGAAGAGTCTACAAAATCTAATCCAGGTACAGAAAGGTTAATATTGCACATTGCTGAAGCAGCCTCGGTTGGGAAGTGCCAAACAGCTTTCATTAAGCTGTCCTGTTTGTTAATATGATTTTTCTCTTCTGCTTACACTGTTCCAAAATCAGCAGTATCGTTTCACTTTTTCTACATGGCCTAGTCCGTTTCCTGAAAATTGCATACACCTAAACAGACACGCAGTGTTTGTGGCACATTTGCCGTGGTTACACATGCAGCAGTTTGCTCTTACCGCCAACCCAAATTCCTCATTAGTCATTTGCATATTCACTGTTGAAATGTGAATTGTAGTTCTGCACGTAAATCTGACATGCAAGTGCACATGTTTGTTTCTGAAAATGTGAGACTTATTTTTGGTCTGGTTTTGCTATTAAGTTTTTAATCAACTGCTTACCTGCTGGGAGGAATAAAAGTTCAAGAATGTATTTAGAATCCTAAACCTGTGTTGTCTGAGCAGTTTTTCCAAAATAACACATCACGATACAGGACTCCCTTCTCCCCCTTTTTCCCCCCCCTCCCCGTTAGTTCAAAGAGCTGCTCTCTGCTACTCCCAGCGCTGAAACACGCACTGGTGGGGGTCTGAATGGGGCATGAACTCAGCTTCTGGTGTTGACCAGAAAGCAATCGGTGCTTGCTTTATCCTTAGGAGGCGATCTGTGTAAAAATCAGACCTTTTCTTCACCCTTCTAGGCAACAGTAGACTTAATTACATTTTAGTTACCCATCCATCTATCTTGGTTTCGCAACTGGAATGTTTTAAGCCCAGGAGCTGGCTGGAAGGTCTCTGGGAGCTTCTCTTGTCACTGGAAGGTGTACATTGATCTAGATGCTATTACTGGGCTTAGTGTTATGCCATAGTCGTGCTGAAATACAAAATAGCCTCTAATTTCTATTGTTATTCCGGTGAAATAGTTCACCTGAGAAATAGAGATCTGTACCAATTCATCAGCCCTTTGGCAACTTCCAGCAAGGTAATTTGATCGTTTCCTGCCCTCTGCTGGCAATTAGTGATAGCGCGCCGACAGCGAATGAGAGCCATTTCCTGGGAATCATTTTACACATTAAATTGAAGCAATTAACTGATATAGCTAGAACTAATGAAATCACTCTGAAGCAATTAAATGGAAGAAAATTTGGATGGTTTAATTTAAAAGCAACCATTCTAAAAATTAAAGTATTACATTTGTCAAAACTTGGAATTAAGACAGCTTTGTTCTCTCTCAAAATACACCGTAACTTCCTTATTTTGGAACCAATAGAAGAAGTTTTTACCATTATTTCAGAGACCAATTTTCATATTCATTTATCAATACATTGACTTTTCTGTGACAGTCATTTCACAGTTTGGATTTCTTCACTTAAAGTAATATGCTTAGAAAAGAAAAATTATCTGTCTCCTTAGTGACTTGCCTTGCAGTTACTTTAGATCATTTCCTCTTCTATCAGACCAATACTAAACTCTAATCCTCTTCCCACAACCACTATCAGCCCCATCCTAACTTGGTGTCATCTGCAAATTTGTGCAACTGTAAACTTGATTTTTTTCTGCTCCCTTGAATATGGAACCACCAGGAAGTACGACGCAGATGTTACTAATTACAGAGGCCTGAAGTTCTGCCAGGCTGCAAACCCAGCGGCTGTTTCTCTTGACAAGTAAGGAGCCATGCAAAGGAGGGGCAGGGGGAACCCAGAGCACACCTTTTGGCAGTTCAGAGCCTCCCAGAAGTTATTTTTCCCTCTTCCAGCCCATCCCGCAGCGCTGTGTTAGCTCGCAACAAGGTGCCTTGGCTGCTGATGGCAAAACCCGTCATCCGCAGTGGGGAACAGCAATGGCACCCAGAAGCTCCCACTGCCAGGCAGGGCTGTGCCCAGCCCCGGTTCCCCATTTCTGTTCCGGTGATGTGGCCACGGGCATTGTGTTGGCCCAGGAGCGACGGGAGTCACCGAAACTCCCCAGCCGCCCCTGGGGTGCTGGCACAGAGCAGGCATTTCCCCAAGCTCAGCAGCCCTGCCTGATTAAAGATGCAGCAGAGCTGCTCAAAGAAAACACGAAAAAGGTGTTTTCAGCAGTGGCTGTCCTCCCATCAGTTAGTGCGTGGCCGGGCAAGGTCCCCGAGGAATGGCTGTGACACGGCCAGTCCACGGCGGGGGCTGCAGGGCGCAGACCCCCTTTCCCTCCCAGCAGGCTGTGCCAGGAGGAGGCGATCCCTGCACTGGGAGAAGATGACCCGGCCGGCCACCTCACCCAGCAGATGCCTGCTGGCACTGCCATGCCATG